TGAATTAATTAAGTTAATTAATTAATTCTAATCAGTAATTAGGATCAATTGGTTTATTATGTCGAACATAGAAACTGGCCATTGCTCGGGCGGCTGCAGGGCCTGGTCAGTGAGGTTAAGACGTGCGCACGAGGGTCTGTGATCTTGGGTTTGAGGCTATCGCCCGAGGGATCCTACCTCCACCGAATTGAGGCTATCTTCGGTATTACGGATTGAGGCTATCTCCGTCATAGGCATTAAATGTTAAGTGGTTTGACTTACGTGAAAGTCTAAATTGGTTTGACCGGTGGTCAAAGAGTTAATGAGGAATCCTTAACACCTAAATCGTTTTGAAAAGAAAGAAAATAAGTGGACTGTTGGTCAACCGTCTAAAGAACCGAATGTAAAGTTGAATTGATTTTTATTAAAAGGTTAAACATATGCGCGATCTTAATCATTGAATTATTATGTTTATTCTTGTGCTACAATGGAGTGCCACTCAGCGTCAATTCTGAGCGGATAGCGTTGTGTTCCTTTTTGCTGTCCGTAGGTGATCAGACAGATGAACCTAGAGCCGATCCCAGAGGGCATTGAGGAGGAGATGTACGATGGCGTGGCTGTCTCTTTAATCTGTAGTTATGCTTTATTTAATTAACTTTATTGCTTATTACGTTTTCGGGCAAGATCCCAAGTTGTTTGACTTTAAAAAGGCTTCCGCATTATTTTAAATTACTCCGATGGATTTTTATATGTATTGATAGAACGTTTGTTTAAAATTGTTTTGAAAATGTTGTATATTCGGATACCAATCCAGTGGCACACCGGTCCGCTGTCTCATGGGTTTGGGTTATGCGGGTTGGGGTGTTACACAAGCATAGCTTCTAGATTCTGTTGGGCACTCCTTGTGCGAACAACAGATTGTATATTTCCGATGATCTGTTGAGGAGGATGATTCCTTAACCAACGAAGATTGTGTTGATTGGGATTGACTGGTTGATTTAGTCCAGCTTCTGGTTGAAGAACTGAAGTTGTTGGTGTTTCCGGATGGATTCGCACTAGGTCGCCATTTCCGGAATTATCGCCGTTTGAGAGATCCGGAATATTGGAAGGCTGGCCAAAATTTCCGGAGGGCTCAGCACTGTCTAAATCTGGATTTCTCTGTGAAGTCTTCAGAGGCAGACTTTTGAATGGAATGAACTCCGTGGGCTTCATTCTATCTCCTTCATTGACTTCTTCATCCTTGTCTGATAGATCCAGAACCTCATGGTCATACTTTGACGGCTTGTCAACCACATGTTTTTCATCAAAAATAACATGTATTGACTCTTCCGTGATCATGGTTCTTTTGTTGAAAACTCTGAATGCCTTGCTCATCATAGAGTATCCAAGGAAGATGGCTTCATCTGATTTTTCATCAAAAGTGTTCAGATGATTCTTCCCGTTGTTTAACACAAAGCACTTGCTCCCAAAAATATGGAAATATGATATATTAGGCTTTCTCCCGTTCCACAGTTCATAGGGAGTTTTGTTGTGCCTTTTATAAATCATACTCCTATTTTGAGTATAGCAGGCTGTGTTAACAGCTTCAGCCCAGAACCTCTTTGGTAAGGAAGCTTCTGCTAGCATGGTTCTCACTGCTTCCTTCAGGGTTCTGTTCCTTCTTTCAGCTACACCATT